GTAAGTCTTTTAGGCTTTTTGTCTTTCTTAAGCTTTGGACAATCATTTTTGTAATGTCCAGGCTCGCTGTATTCAAAACAAGTGACTTCTTTTCCAGAAGCATTTCTCTGATCAGAAGTGGATTCACCTCTTCCATACGTCCTTCTTTGACCTTTGAACTTGCTTTGTCTGTGCTTCTAGATTTGACTTATTCTTTTGGATATTAAGGAGAGTTCATCATCATCTGAATCTTCTTCTGATTCTTCCTTAGCTTGTTAAGCCTTGGCTTTTCTAGGAGTAGGCTTTAGAGGAACTTATTTTACCCTCTTTTGAGGTTCATCTTTTTCTAGCTCTATTTTATGGCTTCTTAAAGAGCTAATCAACTCCTTAAGAGAGGTGTTGTTCAGATCCTTTTCCAATTTCAAGGCAGATACCATTGGTCTCCATTTAATAGGCAGACTTCTGATAATCTTTTTAACGTGATCTACAGTGGAGTAATATTTGTTCAGAACCTTAAGTCCTGCCACAAGATTTTGTAATCTTGAAAACTATTTCCACATATTCGTCATCTTCCATCTTGAAGGCTTCATACTTTTGAATTAAGGCCAAAGCCTTTGTTTCTTTTACCTTTGCGTTGCCTTCATGTGCCATCTGAAGAGAATCAAAAATAGACTTTGCAGTCTATCTATATGTGATTTTCTCATATTCATTATATGAGATATCACTTAGAAGAATGGTTCTTGCTTTGTAGTGATTTCTACATACTTTCTTCCGTGCTTCAGTCATTGCACTTCTTACAATCTTATGACTTTTATCCATCTAATGGGTGAGTGTAAACATCAAATACTAAGTCTCATAGATCTAAGTCATATGCTAGAAAATAACTTTCTATTCTATCCTTCTAATACTCATATTTCTCCCCATCAAACATATGAGGTTTTGAACTATAGTGATCTCTATCATTATCCCTATTATCAACAGTGGAAGTGGATATAGCCATTAGTTTTTCACACACACGCTGAATCGATACCGGACATTGTTAAGTGTTGATAAAAATTCAAACTTTTTATCTTCTCAGTACGAAGCTCTAATACCAATTGAAGGTATGAAAAACACAAGAAAGGGGGGGGGGGGGGGAATTGGGTTTTTAAAACAAACTATTCTTTTGAAAAAATAATATTATTCCCCTTTAAGTTAAAAACGATTTTTCCTTCAGTCTTGATAATAACAATAAGTAAAAACAGGAAGTAAAGAATAATGTATATTTATACTAGTTCACTTGAAAATTATCAAGCTAGTATAGTCCACCCGCCAAGGTGGTTTCGCCTCACTCAATCGAGGACTTAATCCACTCTAACTAAACTGATTACAATTTACACAAGCTACCCGCAAGTGACTAATAACCTCTAGACTCACAAGCCCTAGACTTCTTAAGAATTCAGACCTACCCGGTTCCTTAAGGAATATCAACTAATAACCAACCTGATTATTACAATGCACAAGCTACCCACAAGTGACTAACAACTTCTAAAACTCGCAAGCTCTAGACTTCTTAAGGATTCAGACTTACCAGTCCCTTAAGGAATATCAAACAACAGTTTGAACACAAGCTTTGTTTACAAAAGTATTGCTTCTAAAAAGCTGAGTATGTAAACTGTTTTATGAACAATGACTTAAGAATGTGAAAGCAATGAACAACGTTTGCACGCGAATATTTAGTAGTTAGCCAGTTTTCTTTCTTAGTCTTCAAGCCTTTATATAGCCATTAACATAATTTATCCATTGAGGGATACTCTTGGAATTTCTAGAAACATTAGCAGCTTAAACAATAACGTGGGAGACAAGATCTTGCGACACGTCCGTCCTTTCATGATAGTGAAATGAAACATTGATTGTACTATGTACTATTTATACCACGTTAACATTATCTTCTTTCCTTCTTCACTTTAGAGGCTTCTGCGAGTATGAGTTTAGAAGCGAGAACATAACATCAGGTCATCAGAACTTCAAGTCTTCAGAACTGCGTCTTTAGAGTCTTTAGCACTATGAGAACCTTTTCTTCGAACCTTGGATCTTTAGAACTTCAAGTCTTTAGAATCTTTAGACCTTCTGTATTTTAGAGTCTTCAACACTTGGTCTTCAGAACCCTTATCTTTAGAACTTCATAAATACGAACACAAACTTTCAGCATCTGGACTTCAGTAGAAACTTTGTCTTCAGATCTTCTAACTTTGTTTCTTTGGAACATGTTGTCTTTTAGAAACGTGAGTCTTCGGTATCTGGACGTAAGTAACAACTTCTGTCTTCAGATCTTCTGACTGATTTCCTTAGAATACGTTATTTTTAGAAGCTTGAGTCTTCAGTATCTGGACATAAGTAACAACTTCTGTCTTCAGATCTTTTGACTGGTTTCTTCAAACAAATATCAGAGTTTTACACTTCAGAGACTTCTGAAGTGTTTTGCTACTGTTTAATAGAACTTGTGTAGCATAGAAGCGAAATCATTTCTCTTCTAATGTCTTGGTCACGCCATCCATCAGAAGCAGAACATGTTTGTTAAGTACTCAACAATAACAAACATTAGTGTAACAAAATTATTCATACAATCATACTCATTTCTTATCATCAAAACTCATAGAATATTGCAGAATCAAATCTTGTTCTTACAATTTCTTTAGGATTTATTACTCCCTTCTTGCATATTCCTACCATTCTTCCTTATCGGCTTGCTTGCACTCATGAGAATATGTTCTACGTCCAAAACCTTTATGAGGCGCAGAAGATGAAACTCCTCTCTAAGATCACCTACAACATGTACCTGGTTGCTGTAGGTAGAGGGGATGTTTTGTTTGTACGAAATCATTCCAAGTAAAAACATACTTAGAAGGTTAAGTATGATGAGATGAAGTGCAAATTCTTGGTTGTCCATAAGGAGTTAATGGACCTCGATCGCTAAAGGATTTCCTAACTCTTTAAGTTTCCGACAAGTCTTGGGGAAAATTATTATGGACCGACCAAAGGTCCAAATTGACAAGGCTAAACTTGTTGACTCTTTAGAAGAAGAGACAAAGACCCACAACTCTCCTTCTACTTTGATTTTCCGAATTATTAAGCTAGAGTCTTCCTTTGAGATGGAGAAAAAACGGTGTTAAAAAGCTTTTGATGATGTTGCTAAGGTAAACCGCAACATGGATGAGGACCAGAAGACTTTTTGGCAAGAAGCAGAAGCTCATGCTAAGGCCCTAAAGGCTCTTGAGGGCGAGGTGGCCGGTCTAAGGAATCAGTTCCTTTATTCTCTTCAACAATCTATGCAAGGCGTGTTCAGGATCTACAATCAGGTCGTGGAACATGCAAATGTATTTTGTCCTGAAGCTATAATTCTTGTTGAGAGGTTGGACCTCTTCAAGACTGCTTCGAAAATGGATTTTGGATTCATCGAGACACTTCAACTCTTAGTATTGCAATTTGATCACATCTTATTTTATTGTTTTTATTTTTTCCTGTAATGTCTTCCAAATTGTTGTGCCTTGAATATAATGACAATATTTATATAACATATTTTTAGCTTAGTGAGTTGTGGTTTTATTTGAATTTGTGTCTTGGATATGTATTTGGCTATGTTTTATCATTGTATTACACTTTTGGTTGGTTGCAAGACATATGCATACTTATTATACAAGAAAATGTAAGTAGCCTCATCATCCATTTATCATGTTACAATGTAGAAATCAAGAAGTATTTTTTAATGTAATGTTTCCTATTAGGTCTTATGAACTTACTAAGTATGATTAGTCTTAATTCTAAACACAGATGCATCTCGATCCTTAGGAATTTTTAGTCTAACTTCACCTATATTTCTTAGTCAGTTTTGAATTATAATTAAGCATAAAATCACTAAATTAGATTTAGGGATCATTACCCACCCTAAACTAGTTCTTTAGAGATTAAAATAAGGTTTTCAAAAAATATAGGCTCATGATTGGTATCATGCAATCTTATGATTCAGATAAAAAATCTTATTGTATTTTTGACGAAATGGTTCCAGTCATGTACCCATTTATCAAAATAAATAAAAATGGCCATGATTTGAATCACTTCATAACTTAAATTAAACTTTCAGAAACTCGAAAAAAAACATTATGTTCTTATATCCAAATCCTCACTAAACATGTCTTAACACTCTCTAATCTTCATGGATCAATCATACATATTCATAGACAATTAACACCCATAAATCACAACAATTTCTCATCACAACAATCTCACTAAAATTTGACTTTTCACTTCTTTTTTTTGAATAAAAAAAAAAGACTTATTTTAACACACTAAAAAAAATAAAGATCCTCTATCTCTTTAGTAGGAAAGATAAAGTGACTTTAAGCAAAAATTAAATAAGACAAAAGAGAAAATAATATTTATTTTAGAGGAAAAAAGATGTGAGAGAAAATAAATATGAGAGATAGAGAGAAAGAAAATTTGAGAGTTGAAAATTAGAGGATCCAAACCCCTAAAATATATGAAAATATACCATCATAAAGAAAATTGGGTTCACGTACATACCATACGAATACCGTACTTTGCCTAAAATGGTGTACCATGCTTCCTAGCAAGAACGCATTCACATTTCTCCACTTTGCTTTTAACCTCTTCATATTTTCTGATTTTTCACTCTTCACGGATTGCTACAAGGGTATGTTTGGTTTACATTGCTGCAAGGTATGTTTGATTTGGAAGAGAAGTTGTAAAGAGATAAGTAGATAAGAGAGAGTGTAAGAAGAGAGAAAAAGATGAAGAATAAATTAGATTTGATGTATTGCTTAGTTTAAGAGAAAGAGAGAAGAAAAAGAGAAAAAAGAAGTGTTATATATTTTTAAAAATACTATACCGTCCTTATAATAAATAACATTTAAAAAAATATATTTATAATTTAAAATAATATAGTAACTTTCTTATATTAATTTATTTCTTTTCACTTTCTTTTTATAATTGAAGAGAAATATAAGAGATGTAGGACCCATTCTTTTTTAATCTCTCTTTTCAACTTCTCTTACCAATCTCTTTTCAACTTCTCTCTCACCTATTTCTCTCTTTCCTACATCTATTCTACCAAACACACCCTAAATGTCTTTGCTGATTTTAAAGTTATAATAATGCTCCTAGATAATGAAATAAAGATACCAAAAGAAAAAAGACAACGAAACAAAGAAAGTTTGAGATCTGTTTATATAAGTAATCTTCAGCTAAATGATAGAATTTTAGGGCAACTAATCGAAACAATTTTTACAGACCAACTTTCACCAGCAGCTATATACAGAAAGAACATGACATGAAAACCACACTGAAGCACACGGTCCTTCTTCACCTTTTACTGCACCGGATTCAGACACCTGTCTAAAATATTCTGTTCTTTAACACTACTAAAAGAAAGAAATCAGCATATATATAATAGAGACAATTAATAAAGCAGACCAAATGAGCAATTCTACAAATCTATTACATATGAAACAAGCACCATTTTCCACTTGCCAGTCCGTCTCCTAAGCCTCCAAGATAGGGAAGCCCTCGAAACTTCATCCGTGGCAGCCAAGTTCTCAGCCACTTATCAACAACTCCTGCATCCGATCAAGTGGTTCAGTGAGGTCCTGCACAGCATGCCCTTCCGAGACATCTGAAAGTGATTTGAGGTTGCACTTAATCAAGGCTTCAACAAAGTAGCAGGTCTCATCTTTGGTATTCCCCTCCGGCACATCTACCACAAAAGATTCAACTACCAGGGTTCCTGGTCTTCCATCAATAATTTCTGGGTGGAGGGACATGATAGACGAGTAGTTCTGAAAGATAAAAAAATGATTTTTGTTGTTAATTGATGGAAGGGAGGGGGAAGGTTAAACTGTTGTGTGCAAGAGAAAGAAATAAAAAATATGACACTTCCATATATAGTGCAAGCCTTAACAACAACAAAAAAAAACTAAAGCATAATCAAGTCTAGGAAAATGATATTTCCATGTTTTAGTTGATTTATATTCAATAATCAGAGGCTGGTATACTCTTTCACATAGCATGAGAATGAAAAGTATATTAGAAGTATTAATTTCCACTTCTTTTTCACGTCATTTGAATTTTAAAAATATTTCCAAAAATATTCGATGCAGACTTTACATGTTTTCAAATTTACCTAAATGTAACATTCCCAAAGTAAAGAGAGATTATTGACTCAGGAGTGTTGGTTGTATTTGTATTAAACCATTCATGTGGTTCAAGCAGTTAAGCTTTTGGGATAAAGCAATTCCAGTTACATCCTAATAAAGGAACATCATTTCACAATTAGCAAATTAAGACAATTAATTAGTGACCTAAGCATACAAGGAATATTAAACTTGTCATTGCTTTGACAATTGGTTGATTTCCAAGACGATGAAAATTTTAGCTGTGTCCGAACAAAGTCAGAAAAATAAACATGCTAACGAATGTAAACTTGAAGAACCAATCTCCAAGGAGCTTGTTGAGAACTCCATTACGCTAGCATAAGAACTGACTCTTTTGATCCGAACATGCCAGATTTTTTCTCTCTAAAGTTTTACTGGACTCAATAGAATCAAATTTAGACCATCATTAGCAAGTATATGAATCGGGGAAGAACCTAAGTGAAACATTGAGCTAGTTAGTTAGTTTTGGGAGTAAGAGGCTTTCAAATTTCTGGGAATTGGGAATTCTTCGAAATATTCAGTCTCTATTAGCATGGATTCTCTAATTCAGAGAGAGAAGTTATTCAATAATGGTCTCTTTTTCATCTATCTCGATCCTATTCTGACCATGTACCCATCAACTAATATCAGAGCTCCAATCTTTGAGCTATGAATATTGCATCTTACAGTAAATCTAGCAATGCTTATGGGTTATGCAAGAGCGGAGAAGCAAATTCTTGAAGAGTTGCAGAGAGAGCTTGCCGGTTTAGAGTGCAAATTTCGGGAGGAATGTATGGAAACACCAACGTCGAAGGAGAGGAAACTTACTGGCTGCTGATTCAGCAGCACTTCAACACATGGGGCAGGCTTGATTGAGAGGATGTGCTCTCGTTTCCTATCAGATAGGCAACATGTTGGGACCTCTTGAAAAATGATCAAGGCTATCCAGCCAGATTATGATGCAGCGATTTGATGGTTTTGGTCCACTATGTTTAGGTCCAATACAAACTTACAAAGAAAGGGAACTTTTTGGAACGAGAAAACTGAAGGACTGGAAATCCAGAAACATAACTGGGGTGATGGAGATAATACGGAAACAAAAACAGAGATAGAGTAGAGACTAAGATAGATATCGTGAAAGAATATCTATCCTAATACGTTGATGGTAGGGAATGAAGTAAGGTAAGTCAGAGCCAAAGCAGAGGCATATGATTCACAAATTGAGTCTTCTGGGTTAGAGGATGTTGAAAGCCCTGTCTGCCATGACTACGGCTACCTCGGGCTTCCTTAATTGCCACCTCCAACTCTTTCATTGTGCTGGGTGTCGGAGGGGTTTCCAACACCAACTAGTTACTACCAAAATCATCTTTATATGGCGTTGAACTATATAGCTATTTTGGGATTAGTTAATTCTGACTCAAATTCTAAGAAAGGAATCAGAGCATTACCCTTTTGGGTAGATAAGGGTTGGAAAGATATGGAGGAAGCAGGCAGCATCATTGATTAGTTAGATCTCAAGCACTCCAGCCAACGCATCTCCATCCCTAGAACCACCAGACACACACTCTTCCATGGCAGAAGAGGGTTCATCAATGGAAATTGAGGAGTGTCTGCTGACAAAGATGTTGGCTGCATCCAAAAGCAGGGCACAAGGTATATGGGAAAAGTCATATTATCCATATACATACACATAGCATAAGGAAAAGAAGAAATAGGCCATAGAAATAAACGCTGAAGGAAGATTCAAAAGGTAGATTTTTTCTGGTTTATTGGATCAGATTCAGACCACTTCTTTCCGAGAGGAAGGAAAGAGCACAAAAAAACAGAGTCCAGAGTGAAGAAACCACCCCATGGATCACCCAACCTAGGAGCTTTCTTTGAAGGACTTTGGATTTAGGCCTAATTTCATAACCTATCAAACATGCACTAACCTTCCCTAAATAAACACGCACTAATCTATTTCTGTACAATTCAAACTACGAAATAAGCGCACAAGACATCCTAATTATTCCATCGAGTTAGTGTGGATTTTGTGGTAAATTTATGATAGAAAACATTTAAAAGTAGAGACCATGCATCACAAAATGAGTACGAGGCTTGCCATCATAAGGATATAGTAATGTGTATGCAGACAAAATTCCTTCTACCACAAATTTATTAAAAGATGTGTATAATACTACTGGCTAGAGCTTATACCACTCAAGTAATGCAAACTGTACTATTCAACATTTTGTTAGTTGTTACAACAACATACATGACTGCATTCAGTCAACTATATATATGAATGAAACACAATGTGCACACTCAAGTAACGAACTAATATACCTCCCTAACGGTATCAACATCCCAAATATGGATTATAGATTTTTAAAGCTGCCAACAGAAATTAATTATGTATATCCTGCTTATGTGTCTTACACACAAACATATATAATAAATTCCATCTTAATCACACACGATCTTACAGGCAATATATGAATAAAGTTTCAGCATGAGTGGTTTCATAAACGAGAAAATATCTAATTGTTTCAACAAAAGAATAAAGCAGGTAGATTATTGTGAGGTATTCATACATACCCTAAGCCTATGATCACCACCAATAATCCTGATGCTTAGAATATGCTCATTGTCATCAAGAACCTCCAATCTTTCAGTACTAGTCGTAGCAGGAAGCCCTGACTTAACATCAACTTCTCTTAAACTCCCAATCTCAAGGTTACCCCTCACCACACACCTGCTCACAAACGGTTTATATTTCTCAGGTTGATCAAATCTTCTCACCAAAGACCATACCTAAAAACAGAATGAAAAAAAAAACACAATAAATAACCAATTCCAAAAGAAAATCATAACAGAATCATTCAATTCAATCAAAACAGTTTCGAAATTCCGCATTACACATTACCACATCTAATCTCTTCAAATTCATAATATCAGTAACAGATACAATTATAGAAACAACTAGATCATCATTCATCATATCCAATTCAACTATCAATTCATAAACCTAAAAAACAGAAACTACCAAATCTAAAACGGAAAAGGGAATAATCAATCAACAAGAATCAAGAATTGATTACAAGAGGAACAGGAGCTCTGATATGCTTAACAAGTGCAGAAGCGCACTGATTCTCCGCCGGCTCCTGATTATGATGCCTTCTTATATATTCCATCTCCGTGCTGCTAAACCCTCCGTTTCCACTCCCGTTCATTTTCTCCATCGCCGATAACCGTAAACGCCACCGTTAAAACCACGACGATGCACGGCGGAATCGAATCTGCAACGAATAGTAAATCCTGATTCCGACGATCGGAGTTCCGATGACCGTTCGGTGAGTTTATCCTAATGGAAGGTTCGAGAATCGAGAAGTGACGAAAAAAGAAAGGAGCGGTTATTTTCAGAGCACCGTCATCCACCACCAACAACTCTTCTCTATCACTTATTAATATCTCGAGAATTTTTTTTTATTTAATTTAATTAATGAAAGTAAAAGAGAAAAATACAAAGCGGAAAAAACAAAAAAGAAAATGTGTGTTTTTCATTATTTCCTGGAATGTATCACCAAGTTACTGTTATGGATTTTATAATTACTACTTGTCATTGGTTTGTCGTTTTGTGAAGGTGTCGTTTTGTGATTGTAATGACTGAAAAACCCTCCATTTCGTTATCCATTTACAAGTGATAAGATTTGGTTGAAAAGTTAAATTAAAAATGATGGTATTAGTAGCTTTCTATTTAAGTGAATTACGGTACACTCTATTGTTTTGAGTAGTTGTTATATTCCCCGAATATACTCACCACTTTTCATTAAAAAGTAAATACGTATTAGAGTAAATTAAACTGTTTTCTAGTGCCCCATTATCTCAGTTGGCTTTTGTTGATCATATCATTTTATCTGCGTTTCAAGTAGATACTATTTCTACTTTGGTTTATTTTGAACGAGCTCCGGCTAAAAAGTTAAAAAGTTGGTTTTGGAAAAAAAAATTGTTTAGGTAAGAATGTCAATATGAAGAGCAAGAACCAAATTATTCGGTGTTTTAAAAATCAAATTAAATTGATGGATGGAATCAATTGGATTAGAATTTAAAGAGGTCACTAATTTAATTTGATTGTTGAATCAAATAAACTATTGAATTAATGAGAA